CAGCAGGTCAAGGCTGCAGTGGCCGGGAGCAGCCACTGCACTCCAGTCTGAGCGACAGAGACTCCAACTCAAAAAATAAATAAATAAATAAATAAATAAATAATAACAAATAGAAGTCTGACTTTAGTGGCAAAGTAAAAGACCTGCTTTGACAAACTTTAGCCTATTCTACTACAGAAAACAAAATGAAGAACTTTGGGCTACAAATGTCCAGCCCTAAACCCTAGGCATGCTTTACTGCACTTGAGATTTTACATTTTCAAAATAAAATTAACTTTCTTTCATGTTTATAAAATATCTCGGCTGGGCTCGGTGGCTCAGCATGTAATCCCAGCACTTTGGGAGGCCGAGGTGAGTGGATTGCCTGAGCCCACGGGTTTGAGACCCGCCTGGAGAACTTGGTGAGACCTCATCTCTACAATGAATCAAAAAATCAGCCGGATGTGGTAGCACGCGCCTGTAGTTCCAGCTACTCGGAAGACTGAGACAGAAGGATCCCCGGAGCCCAGCAGGTCGAGGCTGCGGTGGCCAGGAGCTGCCACTGCACTCCAGTCCGGGTGACAGAGTGAGACTCCGACTCAAAAATAAAATAAAATAAAATATCTCATTGTAAAAATTCTATAGATATTTATTAGGTGTGTGGAAGCAGAGATTGAGACTTTTTTTTTTTGAGTCGGAGTCTCACTCTGTCACCCAGACTGGAGTGCAGTGGCCACTCCGGGCCACCGCACCCTCGATCTGCTGGGCTCCGGCGATTCTTCCACCTCAGCCTTCCGAATAGCTGGAACTACAGGCGTGCACTACCACGCCCGGCTGATTTTTGATTTATTGTAGAGATGAGGTCTCGCTGCCCAGGCGGGTCTCGAACCCACAGGCTCGGGCAATCCATTCACCTCAGCCTCCCAAAGGTGCGGGATTACAGGCTGAGCCACCGAGCTTGGTTTATATATGCAGTAATTTTAACCTATCTTCTATACTGTGGTTAGCATTTCATATTGGGTACCAAGTTCACTATTTGGGGAACAGGTTCAATAGAAGCCCAACCAATATTCCCATTAACAAACCTGTACATGTATCCCCAAATGTGTTTTTTTTTTATTTTTTTTTCTTAAGATGGAATCTCACTCTGTTGCCCAGGTTGGGGTGCAGAGGCATGCTCAAGGCAACCTCAGCCTCAACCTGCTGGGCTCAGGCAATCCTTCCACCTCAACCTTCCAAGTAGCTGGAATTACAGGCACACACTACCACACCTGGCTAATT